GTAAAAGAATTGTCCCCTGAATTTCAAAGAATGTACGTGAGTTTTCATGCAGTGATTGATAGCTTGAATCAATGCATCAATATAGATAATTTATGTACATTAATTGTAGAAAAAACAAACCCTTATATTAAAGGAAAAAATATGTATCCCTTTAAAAGATATAAAATTGTATCCTTTTCTTTTAAGAGAGAGAAAGAGATAAATCAGAGAAAAAATGAGTTTTTTTTCTTTCTTATGATCTATCTCTTTTTCATTTTAGTAAAAAAATAGTTTGGTGGGGGTAGACACCAGTACCCCGCCAGTACCCCACCAGCACAAACCTTCCAACCTCAAGGAGGACTTTTGGAAGGACAACAGAAAGAAAATTCGTTTTATAGATCACCCACCAATCAAAGGCCTCACATCAGTCCGAGGGAAACGAACCTATAAGTCGACTCCTTAGCCAACTGTGCCACCGCTTGTTGGCTTTTTTTTTTTTTCTTAAAATAACCATCATTTAAAAAATACATACTTTTCCCTATATTAAAATAAGGATCATTGACCAAATGATGGTAGCTCAGTTGGCGCATTGGAGCTGAGCAGGTGGGGTGAAAGTATGTGTTCGAATCCTCCCAGTACCACCTTTAGGAGGGGTTTAAAGCCTTAATCCTAGACCCGTCCCGAATTAGATTAATTGCGAAGCGATGAACCGATTGAAATATTTTCAAAATAAAATAAGGATCATTGCAATTAGTATACTTTGTTTGGGAGGGGCCCAGAATGGGTGAAGACATTGCTTGGTCTTTATCCTCGTGAGGGAGCTTGGATAGAGAGAGAGGAATTTAGAGATAAGGGAACAAAATGAAAGAAAGAGAGAGTGAGAATTGAAAATAAAGAAGGGGGAGGTGTATATTTCAAAGAGTCCCCTCAATGTATATCACGGGACTAGTCCGATAAATATTTTGATGCGACACATGGCGTCAGCGTGGCTGACGGGACTAGTACCGTCAATATCCCTTATGAGTCTCACCTGCAAAATGCCACGTGGAGAAAAATGGAATGAAAGTGGTTGAGGAGTTCTGTCAAGCATATTGACGGAAGTGAACCTGTCACCTAATCCTACATGTTTGTCACGTAACCTTATATGTTTGACTGCTCTACTGTGACAAATCATCTCAAATGTGGTTTAAACATGATAATTTTTTGAAAAATATTCGTAGTAAGGTGCTTTTGCCTAAAACCACTATACAGTGGTCAAAAACCCATGTAAAAGTGGTTGAATAATGCACCTTGAGACAACATTATTTTATTCTTGGTGTCTGAGAAACTTTGCTTGTGGTAGTCAGTGGTCAATCAAACTATATTTATACTTTAAATTTAACCTTAACGTTTGTGATATTTAATAAGTATATAAGATTAACTCCATTGAAACAAATAACGTAAAATACTTTGTTTTTTTGGTTAATAAATGTCGTTCTTGAATTCTCATAGTAATAACGTTTGATTCATTCATTCATTTTTGTAGGTTTTCTCTTAAAATTTAGAATTTTGTTTTTAATTGCTGATGTAACATTTTTTAAAAAATAACGCACACAATTATACCACATATTTACTTTTGGCTTTCAACAAAGTATATTTAATGTGAGTTTTCTTTTTCTACCGTAAATATGTAGAGAACTTATTTACATTGAGTTTAAAATGACGTCGTTTTGGGGCGAAAATCAAGGTATTTTTATAATTATAATTCATTTCGGGTTATAATAGTCTTTTTCATTATAATTTTTTAATTTTTCAACCCAAAACAATGTTGTTTTGGAAGCGAATGTAGATAACTTATCTATATTCACTGTAGAAATATTAAAGTCATTTAATATAATAAATTAGGGTCTAGCCCTTTTAAAAAATTTGAAAGTAGAGAAAAGACTGGCACAATAGTAACTCATGTTTAGTATGTAACAATTTAAAAATTATTTTCAACAAAAATAATATGCTATGATTAAGGTGAAATAAAAATATTTTTTATTTTTTATTTTTTTGCTAAAAAGGAGGGTTCTAAACCCTTACTAGATACTATTCTATGTAAAGATGAAATACAAGCAACATCAAGAGCAAGAACTAAAAGGTATGACATTCTCTAGTTGGAGGGAGTGTGGATGAAAAGGGCAAGTGCCAACCATGCTTTAACATTGTAGTTTATTTTATTTTATTTTAAAAAAAAACTATCTATCCACATTCATTGATTACTTGACTAATCCAATTATAAGCAAATTTGCAAAAATACAAATACTACGAACCATTCCTTTTATTTGTCCAACAAATGTAGTGCCTTTGTAATAATCAAATAAATAAATAATAATAATAATAATCAAAGTAATAATATATAAGAAATTGACTTTCTAGATACAATTGAGAAGACCATCATGCCATGATAACCATTTCCGGTGTTTATTTTGTGTTAACCTTTTCAGAAAATCATAATGCCTAACTTATCTTTTTCTGGAGAAGGATGAACTGTGAACATTTAATTTTATGACGACGGTTGGGAATACTACATAATAGTTGGGAACCAAGGAGCCAACGGCGGAGCTACAGCCAAGCCAGGCACCTGCTTGTTTTTTTTTTGTTTACTTATTATATAATGATTATAATTAACTAAGGTAAAAATTATAATTTGGCACCATCTAAATAGAAAATCAAATACTCAATACAAAGTAACAACAAACCATCTAAACGCAAACAAATAATAAGGAACATGTATAGTATGGTTATTTTTGTGTTTTACCTTTTTTTATTTTTTACCCTGTATATTTGTTTTTTTCCTGCTTTATTGTAATCAGTTATGTTATTTATTTTTACTCCTATTATTTAAAAAAAAAAGACTTCTAAACTTAATCACAAAAATGATTAGTTGACCTATTTCTAAACTTAATCACAAAAATTTTACCTTAGGATAATGTTTGGTTCATTACTTATTATGTTGTGAGAGGAAAGTAAAATTCTTATGTTTGAAATGTTTACCGAAAATGTTAGCGCATTTTTATATGTTTGCTTTGATATATAATCAACGATAATTGTTCATTTGAATTTTCAATATTATGTGACATCATTTTGTACATAATTTAGATAACTATGTTAGAATTCATAGTAAATTTTTTCTCTGATAAATTTGTATAATTATAATAAATATTTTAATAATTTAATATATTAAATTTTTTGGCACCACCTAATTTTTTGAGCCGACTCCGCCACTGCAAGGAGCTGTAGCCATATTCCATGCAGACAGTGTGGAAACCTATCCCTATAGGCTAGACTAGAATGAGAAGTATATATTGAATAAATATAGCCATATTCCATGCACACAGTGTGAAAACTTATACCTATAGGCTAGACTAGAATGAGAAGTATATATTGAATAAATGTTGTAACCTTATGTAGTTAGGAATGTAATATATGTGGGGAACTGATGTAAAATATTTAGAATGTAAAAATATATGTACTAACTTATCCATGTATAAATAATGAAGGATGTTAGTATTTCCAGTTAATCTTCCTAAATTTATTTTCTTAGATATTTTTATTTATGTATTTTTATTAAATATATTTGGTTGAGAACTATGTGATATTCTCTATATTGGGATCTTTAGAGGATGTTACAGCCTTCATCAAACAGTTTTGCAACCAGCCTTCATTGATGGACTTTAAACTTACGGCCTTCATTATCGGACCCTAAGCGCATTCATTGCACAATTTTGCTTCCGGCATTCACTAATACTTCAAGCTTATGGGTGTGGCTGCAACATTGCCCACCTATTTCCGCACCCTAACATGGCAGAACTAAGACACTCATTGACGCTCAAACTGCAGATTGGTTACATCCTTGAGTTGCCTTTCCAACCATGTTTTGTGGTTTATAGATTTTGTTGTTTGGTTATTTTTCATTTTAAAGGGGTCAATTATAATAAGCTTAAAACTTAAATAAATTTAAGCTCAAGGGGAAGTGTTACAATATATGAAAATGAAAATATCTTATAATATTTTGGTTATATATTAGAACTCTTTAAAGTATCTTATATAATCTCTTAGGAATAATTTCCTTATTTCTTTATATTTCATGATTTATTTTCTCTATTAATTAGGATTTTGACTCTAACATTACTATAAATAAGAATTATTGCTTTATAGATTGTATCACATGATCATAACACATCAAATCAATACCAATTAATATTATTCAAAAAAATTTCCTCTTTCCTTAAATCCATATCATTTCAACAATAGGCATCATAGATAAACAAAAATATATATAAAAAGAAAGAGACAAGTGTCTAAAGCAAAAAAAAATAAAAATGTAATATTTGTTCTAAATTAATTGTGTAAATTTTATTCATACAAAATGTTATACTTTCAAATTTAATTCATTGCAGGTGGATTACACCTACATAGCGAGATTATACTACCCAGAGTTTTAGAGCTCCTTTGCTTGCCAACTCATTGACCTTACATATCTCCTCAAATCTTTAAGATTGATTAAAAGTGAAATCTCCTATACTAATTTATTTATTTACATATGCATAAACTCAACAACATTGCTCCACTAAACTATAAATAACTACATAAATGCATTAGTATCGATCAATACTGGAGAAGACTTTTATACTTATTTTCTAATCATGTATCAATGTTTGTTAGTGGGCAAAAATGATTTCTTTCATTGCTTCATATCCTTCTTGCTAGCAGTGACTATTTGATAAACCTTAAACATATTTGTGGCTTTATAAGAGTGAAAGTGAAGTTTTCGTATACATATTTAGCTAGCTAGAAGCCACACCATATTAAGTTAGAGAGCATATGTAGCATAATACTCGTACAAACACACAGTGATATATATAATAACCTCACAAAGCCAAGTTTTAGTCACTTTATTACAATCACATACCAATATACTTATAATTAAGAGTTGCAGCACATACGATTCTGAAAATGTCAAGATGGAGTTTTTGATTCAAGAGTTGTGGCCAGATAGCTTAAGACCATAGCAGCTAATTTAGATCCTCTCTTGAAGATTTGGTTGCATAGGCTGCACACGAAACGCAAAAGGCATCTGAGAATTGAAATCCCTTACGCTCTGATCAAATCCATTGTCCACATCTCTCGCATCTTCCACTGCCATTCTTTGTTGCTGTTGAAAATAATACAATTGGAGAAGAAGGGGAAAAAAAGAAAAGAATAAAAAAGCATGCAGTTAGCTTTTCTTTGATGATAAATGAACACCTTAATTAAAAGTTAATTGAGTTTTCTTTCTTTTCCGATTTATTGGTTTATTTGTTTCAACTTTGAGTAATCAACTAGTGTATAGTTTACCAAAAAAATAAATCAATGAGAATAAAAACTAGTATTTATTGACAAGCTGATGAGTATGCATGCAAAGATGAAAAAAAAAAAAAGGACAATAATATGGTCATTGATGTTGACCTTGTACCGAGATTGGCTAGTCTTAATCTTTAAACTATCATTCACAATTGACCAATATAACAAAATTGACTTTCTAGATACAATTGAGACATGCTCTAATTTGAACAAATTTCGTGGACAGTTTTGCATTTCCTTGATCTCATAATGTAAATGGACTCTTTCTCGAATATTCTAGAGTTAAAACATTTTTGACAAGTAGCCTCAACAAATTAATCATCTTTATGTGAAGACAGTGGATGATATTATATCACTAAGAGGTTTGAACCCATGTATTAACAGAAGAGATTAATAATCAGAATTACAGTGCAACAGAATGTGAGATAATGAGACAGAGTGATGAATGTATGCAGAATAATGGATTAAATCCGAGCCCACAGAATGTGTCTTCTTAAGACAATTTATCCCCTCACTGATGCCAAAGGATGATGGACAAGTGTCTCTCAGAATAGAACATATTTCGTCTGAGGAGTGGTGGCACTACCAGTCGACAGCTCAAACGAACACAACAATATGGCAGAGGAAAGTACACCGAAAATCGGAAATAAGAATGCAAATCGGAAGAAGGAAAAATTCCGGCAGAGTAACAGTGCAGAAAATTGGAAAAAAAAATTCTGGGGGGTCAGGGTCTATTTCTAGATACTGACCGGTCACGATGAACCGCCGGCGGCGGCGAACTGCCGTGTCTGACGGCTGTGAACGATTATGACCGATTTGGTGAACAGGTACAACTGGCGACCGGTTCGCGAAAGGTAAGAACCGGTTCGGGTCAAAACGTTCAAAAAATCGGCGAGTAGAAACGTTTGGTTTTGAAAAAAATTGGAGGGAAGCAACGGATAGTCACAAGGGTATTTTGGACAAAAAATTAAAAAATTATTTAATAAAAAATTATTTTCATTTAATCCAGTGGTGGACCTAAGCCCACCTAGCTTTTTCCCCTCCACAAAATGTGTAGTGACCCAATGGCCAATTTAGGAGTGTGAGGTGGGAGCTTATAAACTCTCTCACCTCCTACTAGTTGTCCAATGTGGGACTTCTTAAACCCACACACCCCTTCAACTTCACTTTTCTTTTTTCTTCCTTAACCCACTTCTTATTCATAACCAATAGATTTTCTATACAATTTTAACATAAATTCTAACATCTCTTGGTTCTAATTAATTATTTCGTTCATGGCATTAGCTATAACTATGTGCTCATCTAGTGACATTTATAATGGTATTTGTGAGAGCGAGTTTTTCCCCCCCTAAATCATAATAGAAAAAACATCCTAATTATGTTTTATCATTTATGTTAACTAGTAGCAGCATACGGGTCATGAGATTGGAATGTGCATGTTTTATCAGCTATATATAAAATATGAAGTTTGGATCTTTCGTGGACAGTGTTTTGGTTAAGTAACAATATTAGACAGTAAGCACGTAATGTCTGATAGAGGTACCAGGATAAAATTAAGTTCCCTGTTCTCCTCCTCCAAGATCTTGTCCTGATATCATCATAAATGTGCAAAAAAATTGAAATCGTTAGTATATAGTTCACTTTTGCATTTTGTAAACAAGATTATTTGCATATTAGAATCTAGTAAATCAGAGAGTAAATTAACATACTTTTCTCCTGAACATCCTGTATAGTTCCATCTGCAAAATAAGTACAAAGGTTTATATATCGATCAGATAATATTGTTTGACTTTGGCTACCCAATGAGTTTTCAACCTGGAAAAACAGATTTAACTACCATGCACACTCTTTATTCAAATTCAAACATTTTATTGAAAGCTTACCTATGTTTTATGGAGAACAAATTTTTTGTTTACAAACTACACTATGTCTATCTGACCGGTCATACATTTTTTATTGAAGTCTGACCAGTCATACTTAATATAATTTGTAAGTTTATAAGAAAAAAAATGTATCAATATAACCTCTCACATGTTTTATTAATAAAAGTTATCTACTGTTTAGCTTACATATTTTTATAACTTTAGTTTTTTTTTTTTTTATTAAAAAAAAAATGGCTTATTGAAGATTTTGCCTGTTTCTCGCGGACAGTTAGGAGACCATTTTCCAAGGCATCTTCTAAGCCCATCAACTCCTTGTAGTTCAGTGAGTTGATATCTTCCCCTTTCAAGTGCCTGCAATATATGTATTAGTTGGTCAAAGCTGAGAGAGAGAAAAGAGCATAAGAGGGCTAAATTTTAAGGTGTAAAACATTATAAATATATACCTGAGCTCAATTTGCATGCTGTCATTCTCTTTCTTCAGTCTTTCGATTTCGCCGTTAAGGTTCTGTGAGTTCAACAAATATTAATTGTTGCAAACCCTAACTCACTCAGTTTTCTTTTTCTTTTTCTTTAAAAAAAAAATAGAAAGGGAGGGAAAAAAAAATTGTGGAGAGGGTATGATGTTAACTTAGAAGCAAAAGAAAGAGCTATTAGGAGTAGATCTAGCTATATATAAAGATATATATTCAGTTGTTTCATTTTTTGCAAGTAAAAGGAAGCAAGTGAATAACGTTATATTGCCAGATCTGTTCATAGATGTTACATTTGTTGTTGTTCCTGCTTATCTTTTTTCAATAAAACAATATAATACTCATATATATAGGGAGGAAGGTACAACCCAAATGTAGATCTACTCAGAGAATTCATAATTCATGTTCCTTAGCATTTTTTTAGCAAAAGAACTATGTCATTTTCCTTTGGGCAAAGCGAAAACAAAACACAAAATAAGAGCTAGAAAGCTCATAAAAACCAACCTCATGCTTTGCATCCCAAAGCCTCTTCCCAGAGGTTTTGTGGTATCTCTCCAAGATGTCAATCAACCTTCACCAACAAAAAGAAGCAATTTTTTTAGATCAACCACATACTATTTTCATGCACTTGGTTCCTTCTAATAACATGAACAAAATAAAATGAAACTAATTGAGGGAAAATAAAAGAAGAAGAAGGAGCAAACACAGAAATTCTGACGTTGTAGATGGGCTTATGTAATCATGCATCTTTCCAGAAGCAGCAAAGATGATAAGGGAAACTTGTGCATCACAAAGAACTGTGATTTCCTTTGCCTTCTTAAGGATCCCATTCTTTCTCTTTGAGTAGGTAACTTGTCTATTGCTTGAGTTCTCAATCCTCTTGATCTCAATCTTACCCCTCCCCATCTCTTGAATTTCTCTCTCTCTCTCTCTATTTTCTTCTAAGCTCTGGTCTTTCTTTAATTGCTTGTGGATGGAGAAGTATAGGGGGAGGGTAACAAAGATAAAAGTAACAACAAGCCATAGCAACATGCCATAACGGGTTTGTGGGTAAAGAACTTTCTTGGTGGCACAGTGGGCAGTGACTAAGCCAACCAAAGTAACTTTTACTTGATGTTTGATTTGGCTTTGTTAGTTGCTGCGCCTCCTTAACCATTGGTTTCCTTCCACACTCTCATGGTCATTTAATTGCAATGGTTTTGTGGGATTTTTTTATTTTTTATTTTTTGTGTCCTTTCATTTGGTTATTTAAGTGGTTCATTGTAGGGTTAAGGATATACCAAAAGTGTGCTTGACTTGTAAAATTGGGTTTGGTGGTGGCTTTGGAGGACACGTAATCAACTTGTATTGAAGTTTGTGATATGAACTTTCCTAGGATTTGTAATAATTAATGTTTGTGGGGGCCGGAAAACAAAAAGAAAAGTATAATAATCAGGGATCAACCATCAAATCATCAAAAGGAAAATAATTAATCTAATTCGATCCCCACGATAAGAAGTAAAGTCTAAAAATGGCAAGGGAATACATTGGAAGTGTTCCAAACATAAAGGGAAGAGCACAATTTCGTGTTAGTCAAGGTCATGCAATCAAACAAGAAGACCAAGATTAGGTCTTTGTCATGGTTTGGACAAGCACCAGTCTGTGATTCCCGGAGGGGGAGTCTTTGATTTGAAAGGTTCGTAAATTGGTTTTTTGTACAAACCAACCAAAGCCTTCAATCACTGCCAAAATGCGGAGATTTCGTGACATGACAACAATCAGAGAAGGAACAAGTAATATATACTCAAGAAATTGCCCATGCTGATAAAGAGTGCATGAGATGGTACCTTGAATTCATTGTCCAGTGAAGTTATTATGTTAACTACGATGGTTATATATTATGTAAATTAATTCTTTGCTATATGGATCTTAGGGAATTAGCAAATTAAAAAAAAAAATTATATAGTGCTCACAGGTTTTTTTATTGTTATTGCAACTTGTTTTATTTTCTTGACAAATTTATTTTGAGATTATTTTTATTTTGTTGTCATTCTCTATGGTTGAAATCCATGTTATTTACATATTAATATTTTTGCTATCATTGCTTTTCAATTTCATATTAAGAGAGTGTATTCGATTAGGATTTTAAAAGATTTTTTTTTGAGATAAAAAATCTTATAAATTTTAAAAAAATTCCTCAAGTTATTTTCAATCGATATATTGAAACATTAAATTGTTTTGGGTTTTTGAAAAACAAGTTTTTAGTGATCTATCATTCTATTGACATAAAAATTATTTGAAAACATTTCCTATAACGAAAGAATTTCGTTCATGAATATATTGTTATTAAACATAGAGTTCATGTTACAAAAATTTCAATCTTTATTTAAATCGATCTTGTTTCATTGATGTAAAAAGAAAATTAGTTTGTTTACCAAAAAAAAAAATTGGTTTGGGGGTTTTGTTCCATATTGTTTTCCCACTGTTTTTATGTTGTTTTTAGGGGAAATATTTCTGCAGTTACTGTAAATAAGTTATCTGCATTTATTCCCAAAACGACGTCGTTTTGGTATTGAAATCTTAAAAAATTATAAATATAAAGACTATTACAACCCTGAAATAAATTAAAATTATAAAAATACCATGATTTCTGCCCCCAAACGACGTCGTATTGGGCTTACTGCAGAAAAAGCGAACCCTTGTTTTTAATACAAAAATCACACATTTTTGTGTCAAAAAAATCGTGACCAGTAGTTTGAAAAATCATTTTTAAAATTTCCAAAAACTCTCAACAATCGCTCAAAAATCTATTGTTTTTGAGTTTTGACGAAGCTCCCATGGCGGAATCCGATGTCGAGTGGGTCGACCCGCCAAAAGAAGAAGAAGAAACTGCAATAGAGAAATTTCAAGAAATCCTAGGGGTTATGGTGAGATTGTGAGAGAGACATACTATTTATATTTCTCACTACAAAGTCTCACAAAATTCACATTAATAGAAAATCCATTAAAATCGTTAGATTTTTGAATACCACAAGATTATTTTTCCTTTATTTAAAATCCTGATTAATTAACAACGAATTTGGACATACTAAATAATCTTTTAAAATCCTAATCGAATACACATGATTTTTTTTTCAATTCTTTAAAATCCTAATTGAATACCAATGAATTTTTATGTCTAAAAATACTCTATTAAAATTCTTTAAAATCTCAATCCAATACATCCCTAAATTTTGAAAAACCCAACATTGAGACTTTAAATGGTCACAGTTACAAGAGATGGAAAGTGGAGAATTACGTCTGACTTATGATGGGCATTGACATGGCCATCAGGAATTCAAGATAGATAGGCATGCAGTTTTGACTATGAAAGCGCACTGATAACAGAAAACCTATTATAAAAAATGGGGAGAGCAAATCAACTAGCTAGTTCTTATGGTGATGAAGAATTCAATAAATATTTTGAGAAAATTGTAATTTGTGAGTGCTATTCAAAAAATCAATTATGCTGGGCTGTATATAAAAAATCAAATGGAATTATATATATATATATATATATATATATATATATATATATATATATATATATGTATATTGATTCGTCAATTGTATATATTTTAGTTCTTTATAACAATTTTAATAATTTTGTGGTAAAATTAAAGAAAGTTTATGGCCATCATTCCAAATAGGGGTGTTTGCGGTCTGGATTGGATCAGTTTTAGAAGCAAAAATCATTCGATCCAATCCCTTCGGTTTGATCATATAATCATCCATTCGGTTTGAATTTTTTTCAAATCCGATCCGATCCAATCTAATTTTTTTCGGTTTGGATTGGATCGGTTTTTGGTTTTTTGAAAATCCTAAAATTTATTTCATGATTATTATGCAAATAATATCTTTTTCAAATACAAAAACATTAGTAAACTATAATATAATATTTTTTTGGGCAACGAGATATGAAGCTTTACAAAGATAAAATTTTGTTGATTAGATGTGACTAGATTTTTTCTTGGGTTTAGTTGATACCGAATGGGTCTTGGGTTTAGAAATTTTTGACTATGATTGGGAAAAGACCCAAGTAGGTAAAAGAAAATTAATATATTGGATCGGTTTTCATCAACCCATCCAAAAACCGATCCAATCCAATTAAAATTTGCAGTTTTTTTTTTTATTTTTGATTTTTTGATTTTCGATTTATTCGGTTATCGGTTTTTCAGTTCGGTCATCGCGGTTTGAATCGGTTTGGATCGGTTGATGAACACCCCTAATTCCAAAGATGGCGCGGCAGGCGGGAGCGCAATGGCTGTATCACTTGGATTGCTGAATATTTTAAAAACCTGACGTATCATCTTCAACCAATAACATGAAAATCTAAAAACATACCTTATCAAAAAAAAAAAAAAATTAAAATCTAAAAAATGTTTTTCAAAACAGATTTCAAACAAACCTTAAGTTTCCCCTCTTACTCTTATCCGGCTCTCTTATCTTATTTATTTCTATTACATCCTATCCATCAAGCGGATAATAACCTTATCATATTAAAGGATAAGGCTCCGTAACAATCTTAAAGGGATCATAATCCTATTCTTATTAGATAACCTATATATAAATAAGGTTAAAGTTATTAGATATATACTTTACTCACCGTTATTCTTAGTTGCCATTACACACACACACGCTCTACTTTGACGTTTCTATCTTGTGTTGATCTGCCGCCCCTTGTAGTATCTCTCATAGATACTGCGAGCGTACACCTGGGTGAATATTCTCGACCCACTTGCATCGAACAAAAAGATTCAAGAATGCAGTTTGGGAGGTGTTAGTGGCGTTGATCGGTTTTACATCCTAGTCAGAATTGGAACCAGCATAACAAACTCAGATAGAAAAGAGCTACTTTGGTTTGTGGGTGGGATGCTGGAAGTTAACTCAACGGTTCTTTCCTGGCTTTAAAGATTGTAAAACCGATCCTCTCCACTAACACCCCCAACTGCAGTGCAATCCCAGCTTTTTTCTCTCCAAATGGGCCCTTTATTTACAAGGGAATAAACGGAAATAGGTACGAAATTTTTCATCGTTCAAGTGCCAACATCTAATTACTTTTATTTTTTTATGGTCTCATATGGTTTTGACGAAAAAACAAAGGTAAAGAACCACTTTAACCCAAAATTTTATTGTGTTGGATGAGGTCTTTTTTAGTGGTTTATATTATTCTCTATTAACACACCCCTCGTGTGCAAGAGTCCTTTGGGCTTGAAGCGTGTGAATATTGTTGTATAGGATTCTTATTTATTCTCCATTGTTATTAATTTTAATATGCTAGGCTAGATTTTTTATGTAGTAGGGATAGATGGAACCCAATTGAATTATTGTGTTTATAGATTAAATTATCTCCGAATTATTCTCTTTCTATATTTGAATGAATTTATCTGTTTTAATGTTTTCTATGAGTTTGCTTCTTATGGATTGATTTAAGGGAATTATATGACAATATGAATGTTGGTGCATGAACCTTCGTCATAATCCGGGATAGACATAGGGCAATTATGCAATCTTTGAATTATTGATTTTATTGCATGTTTTCTTAATGAACAACCGGGGAACTAGGATTCTTTCATGATCACATAGAATTAGGGTAACAAAGAATTGAGTCTTAATTAACTTAGAAAGAATTGATTGACATTATATTAAGTGCAGATTCTTGACTATTTAATTTACAGCATAAAGAGAAATTGGGAGAAATTGAAACCTTAACTACGCTCTTTCTTGATTCTCAAAACTTTCATCTTTTTACTTTCTTGCTTTTAATTATGAAATTGAATGCTACTACTTGTTTTTTATTTCAATTTTTTTCATTTCAAATTCGATTGTCCAACTAAATCGTTGTTAGCGAATTAGTTCTTGAAAATCAATTCTCGTGAGAATGATCT